AAAACAAAGGTCTAGTTGCAACCACGTTGGGGGACATGCAAATTTGGTTGGGTGCGGCACTTGCAGTTGTGGGGATGCTGTCGGGCTTGCAACTGGTCCGCCCCCTCTACCGGCACCCCCTCCAACAGAATATAAAAGTCCAGTTGCCGTCGAGCTAGAAGACATGCAGTTGTGGTCGAGTGCGACACTTGCAGTTGCATGCCTAGTGTCAGACATGCAACTGGCCCGCCCCCTCTGTCAAAACAAAGGTCCAGTTGCAACTATGTTGGAGGACATGCAGTTGCGGTCCGGTGCGGTGCTTGCAGTTGCGGGGCTGTTGTCGGGCTTGCAACTGGCCTGCCCCCTCCGACAGAACAAAAAAGTCCACTTGCGTTCAGGTTACAAGACATGCAGTTGCAGATGGGGCACGACAATCAGAGTTGAGTGCCTGGTTGCATACATGCAACTCCACACCCCCCCACACACAAAACAACACATAATTGCATTACGAGGCAATACTTACAATTGCATGGTTAGTATTAGACATGCAATTGTCCCTCTCCGACAAAACAATATAGAGTTGCAATTGCGTTGAAGACTTGCAGTTGTAGTCGGGATGAGATACTTGCAATTGCATGCCTAGTGGTACACATGCAATTGTCCTCTCGACAAAACACCATAGAGTTGCATTCGTGTTTGAATACATGTAGTTGCCGCTGGGGCACGACCATCCCCCCCTCCCCCGACAAAACAACACATAGTTGCATTATAGGGCGATACTTGCAGTTGCATGACTAGTAGCAGACATGCAATTGTCTCTTCCCGACAAAACAATACAGAGTTGCAATTGCATTGAAGACTTGCAGTTGCAGTCAGGACAAGACACTTGCAATTGCATGGTAGTTCCAAGCATGCAACTGTCCTCCCGATGGAAAATCATAAGTTGTAGTTGGCGGGCACTTGGAATTGTGTGCCTAGTGATAGACATGCAACTACCACATATTCCGATAAAACACCAAAGAGTTGCAATCCCGTAGAAGATGTACAACTATACTTAGGGGTGACCCTTGCTAGCTACTCCCTCCCCAACAAAAACACCACTGAGTTACCATCATGTTGAAGACATGTAGTTGCAGTTGGGGCCGATTGTGCAACTAGATGGCAACATTTCCAATTTTCAAAAGTGAAACAGTTATTTAATAAAAAAATGAAAAATAAAAAAGGTAGCAAGAAAAAGGTTTGAAAAGAGCAATAAAAAGAAAGAAAGAAACACCTCATCGACGGGGCAAATTGCATGAAAAACAAAAGAAATTGAATATCCCACTGGATGTCGACTTCCATGTGGATGAGAAAAAGAAAGTACAAAAACTATAAATAAATTAAAGTTAAATAATAAAATTTCCCATATTATGCATGTTTCGGTCTCATCACCACACAAGTCTCGTCACAGTTGCGGACACATTTTATCCATTGAGTTGCACGTAGTTTTGGATGCATACAATTGCATACGTGTTGCACCCACGTAGTTGCATGGATTCCAATAATTCTAGTTGTACGTAAGGGGAATAAGAGTTTTTGTGACAAAAAAAAAGAAAGAAAATGCAACCGTTTTTCTGTCAACCATATGTAGGAAAAATAGGGCATATCAACATTACGAAAAATATTCCTGGGTAGTACATGAGTGAAACAAAAAAAATTACAAAAAAGAACAGGCAACATACAAATAAACAAAAAATCCATGTACAAAAAAAAATAACTGACAACATACAAATAAACAAAAATCCATGTACAAAAGATATCAACAATCGAGCGTAAAATCCTTCGTGCATGTAAAAAAGCCTGTTCTACAAAATTTAGATGTTACGTATTGCCTAAAGATAAAAAGAAATTACAAATAAACCATTTTATTAAAAATAAATTGATGATTATATACATTTAAACAGAAAAGGGAAATAAAAACAAAAAAGAAAATACAGGTATACACGAGAGTGGGCTGCGCTAGCAAGTTTCCTGCTTGTTGTAGACAAAAGCAAAACAATGGAAAAGGCCATCCAGCCGCGTGTAGCCTTTCGTGGCAAAAAAAAAAAAAAGTGGGCTGGTCGCATCTTAACAGGCCGAATTGATACAAAGACATTATATTACGTCAATCTTGAAGCGACAAACATCGAACGGCCAGACTGTCGAAGTCTCAGTCGACTGATTTTTAGCACCTCCGATGGAATTATTGGAGATGAGAATAGAGTCTTAGAAAGGCGACCAATACTTGAAAATTCGATATTGTACTAATTTAAACTTCTCAAGAACTCACTCAATTTGCAAACACAAATGTTAATTCTAGAAATTATATATCGTACCATGGTCCATGGCAATGCAAATTGCTCAAGGATATCACTGCCACCTGCCACTACGTGTAGTCAGTTGGCAAATGATGGAAAAAGAACAAAAGAAAACAAAGAGAAGGAACTTTGTACAAATAAGTTGGCACTCCCTCTGTAAGCTAATACAAGAGCGTTTAGATAGTGATCTAAACGCTCTTATATTAGTTTACAGTGGGAGTACTAATCAATATCAACTCTTGTGTGCATTCACAACATGCATCCTGCTGTTCACCGACCATATAACACTCTGCTCTTCCATGCCCATGCACCACCGGAGTCTCACCGACGCTGCACGTTGTCCTAGAGTTGGAGATAGACTCATCAAAGTAGGTGTCATGCTTGGAAATGAAATTAGGATGAAGAGGATGAGCTACTTGACGCCGGAGTGGGCGAGCGGAGGTGTGCAAGTATGTTGCTAAATTTGGGCCTCTTTTGCGTGATGGCGATGGAAACGTCGTTGGGGAACAGGTCCCCACGCACAAAGGCGTGGTACACGGTGGTGGCCAACACGCCGATGACGGTGACAACGGCAATTCCTGATAGCCCGACCGCAAGCATTTGTGTTATCATGTTGTTCACCTCTGACGCATACAACACCGTCGCTAGGGCAACACTCGTCATCGGGAACGTGTAGGCCCACCAAGCCAACGAGAACCTTAACCCCCGGAACAGGTTGACACGCACCACCAACGATACATAGAGAAAGAGCGAGATGAAGTATAGGAGCTTGGCGCTGTTGTTGAACTCGCCGGAGATCCTCGCCCATGCCATGGACGCGACACTAGGTGCGGCAACGAAAAGAAAGAAGACCGGGTGGAGCTCCTTGGGGAGCTGCATGTTAGTGGGGAGCCGTTGGTAGAGGGTGACGAAGAGCACCGCATAGTGGGCCAACCCAACAGCAAAGAAGAAGATGGGCAGCTCCCGGAGGCCCATCTTGGCACCGAGTAGCGCACCAACAAAGTTGCCAACAACAGCGAGGTGGTTGGATGGGTTGGCCACCTTTGAGAGGCGCCGCTCGCCGCTGGACATCCACTGGCCGTAGATCTTGAGGTCGAGGCATAAGATGGGCGCCATGAGAAGGTACCAGAAGACATGGTGGATCTCCCACTCTGGGAGGGGCACTCCCTTGACGAGGAAGAGGCAGGCGACCCAGGGAGCGAAGAAGAAGTTGACGCGGACCGGATGGTGGAACTCGCGGCGGACGGCCTCGAAGTAGAAGACGACCTTGAGAAGGTAGACGATGGAGACAACGGCGGTGAGGGCAACGGAGACCCACCAGAGGACATGGTTGGCGGCGGGGCGCACGCGGAGGAACGCCATGGAGGGCTCTGACTCGAGCGTCTTCCATAGCATCGCTTGGCTACTGACGCCAAGGCACATCCCGAAGGCGCTGATGGGGAACCGAAGCAAGAAAGGCCACAGGTCGTCCTTGGGCAGCACCGCCACCTCCGTCGACTGCAAACATTCAGCATGTTGTTAAAAAACAAAGCAACGCCCCCTGGTTTTGCTTGCGGGAAATGGTAAAATGTGATATATACTACATACACGAAGGGTGTCGAGCTCGGCGCCTTCGAGTGCGGCGAAGTAGCGGCCGGCGGTGGGGACGTCGTGGTCCTCATCAGTGTCCTCCTCGGAGATATTGGCGCTGCCACGCTCGGGGTCAGCAGCCGGCAGTTCCTGTGACAAGCCGCGGAGGGTGGAGAGCTGGCGGTCGAGGCGGCCGGAGAAGGTCCTTAAGCGGTCGAATCGCCGGTCCCGCTTCCGCATGGTGTCGCTCCGCGGCACGGCCGGCGCGTCGGCATTACCTCTGACTACCGGGGACGGCAGCGAGTGTTGACGGGCTTGCCTCAGGGGCATGGCGGGGTGGTGGACACCGATCTTCGTCTCCATCGGTGAGGCCGGAACGCTCAACGACACAGAGAAAGGCGTCTCGATCGTCGTACCGCCGCCGATATCCCCCGAGAAAGAGTGTGCTTCCGGCGGCAGAGCGCACCCCGGCTCGCCGTCCGTCCGGACATGGATGTTCTCCATGGACGCCATGAACCTCGACAGAGTACTCTCCTGGAAGTGGCAATGATATCAGCTTTGAATATGATGCTCATCGCAGCGAGCTCATGTACTATATATACGCGCGCGCGGCTGATCGATCTTCCTGGCAAGTGGCGGGCCAGCGGGATGATGCACGTGGACGGGGAACACGAAGGTGCGTTCCACCGGCCGCACCAGCTGCACGCACGTACCCCCAGAGGGCCAGCTAGCTCCAGCAGCAGCGGTCGCCCCGAATTCTTCCAAGCCTCGTAGGTGGTCGTCGAATGGCCACGTTGCCGCGCGCCGACTACCCCCTTCTTCGTCTTCACCCGGAAGGAACACGGGATCTCATCTCCTGCATGTATGCACCTCACGACGTAAGGAGCACGAGCCTACTGTACGTGCGGAATAAGACGATCCATGAGGAGCTCAACCATGTTTTGTTAGAATAAATTCGAGGCACTCCGTCGATTATCCGAGGACCAAGCAAGCACACGAGCACGACACCGAGATTTGTTAACAAGGTTCACCGATATGGCTACATCCCGGGGCTTGACTACGAGCGTTCCTTTCCGTGACACCATCACAATACCGCACCCGGCCACCCGGGCGCCGGCACACGCCGCCGGCTCCCCCTTGCGCGCCTGTGCTATTATATTGGCATAGGTTACATCGTATGTCTACCCCCGATATATGAGAGGCCTAGGATACAAGTGTCCTATTAGGACACAACTCCTACCCTGTCTACACACAGTCCAAAACCAAGTCCAACTGTAACCTACCTTGTACAATAATATTCGACACAACTCTAACATGGTTGTCTGCGCGGTGGCGTGCATGATTCAAGCTTTTTTTTTGCGGGTGGTGCATGATTCAAGTTGGCGACGGCGCATCGTGCATGCTGGTTTTGGTTTTTGCTAACACGTGTCAAAAAGTACAGCTGCGTCAAAGTATATCACACACCCACGGTCACACTTGGTCCTCAACTTGCTAGTCCTTCCTTCGTTTTTATTTAATCCGCGTATTAGCTTTAGTTAAAGTCAAGCTTTATAAACTTTGACAATAAATAAAAATATTTGAATTTTTATAACTATCAACGTTCGGATTTTAGTAATAAGCAAGAACGATTCTTACTTCACTATAATTACATACATGCATGTATTAAAATGACTAATTTTTTTTCACGTGCGTTACTCCCTCTAATTATATGCATATATACACACTAAAGGACGAAAAGCTGATGTCATTCTAGATTCTTTCTTTTTTCAAACTTCAAAATGTTTTGTAGCTCAAACCGTTGCTCCGACTGAAAAAACGTCTTCATAAAGAATTCGTCTCGACGAGACCTTCGAAACTAGATCTCATATTTATATGTTCTGATGACTTTTTTCGGACCAAAAGTTACCACATCTGGACTAGTTATCACGTCTGTCATACATAAGTTACCGTGTCATTTACACAATAGTTTTTGGGGTATGTTTTCAACAAACTTTTATCCCAGGGTCAAAAAGTGAACATGATGTTTGCAGTGAGTTATCAACTTTGTTGTGTATATTACTATGTTGCATAAAGGTTATTCGGGGTACAATTTTCATTCCCTCGGTTAAAATTCCCGTGACATTTGTGTGTGAGTTATCAACTCTCTTGTGCGTGTATTAACATGTTGTTTACACATGAGTTATTGGGAGGTATTTTTTAACAACATTTTCCCTGGTATATTCCGATGACTTTTTTTCGGACAAAAAGTTACCATGCATATACTACGCAAATTATCACATATGTGGTACATAAGTTATCAGTTTGTTTCCACAAAAACTACCGGGGCATAAAAATGATTTCTCTTACCTTCTCCCCACATGCATGCATATACTAGAGGACATAAAAAGCTAATGTCGTCCTACATTCTGCTATTTCGAAACTCAAATTTTTTTACCTCAAAACCGTTGGTCAGATCAAAAAATTGTTCAACATAAAAAATCTGACGCGACGAAAAATTCAAAGGTAGGTCCCATGGTGGTATATCCCCGATGAGTTTTTATGGTCAAAAATTTACCAGGCTTGGGTTTAAGTAGTTTATCAGCTTTGTTATGCGTATATTACCATGTTATTTACACATAAGCTATCATGGTGTTTTTAACAACTTTTTATCAGATCAAAAGTTACCACACCTTGGCTAAGTAAGTTATCAACTCTTCTATGCTTATATTATCATGCTAGTATACATGAGTTATCGAGGGTGTTTTTCAATAAATTTTTTCGAATGAAATAGTTACCACATCCGGGCTAAATAAATTATCAGCTCTGTTGTGCATATATTACCGTGCTAGTACACATGAGTCATGGGGTTTTTTTCAATAATTTTTTTCCATGAGTCAAAAATAGTTACCACGCTTGGGCTACTCCCAAAAGGAAAGGGGGAACAGTTCTCTCCTCGGGCTCCTCCACGGAATGTCTGACTTATGGTAGGAAGCTTTAGTTAGGGACACCCCTACTAAGTAAGTTATCAGCTCTGATGTGCGTATATTACCATGCTAGCACATATGAGTTATCAACTCTATTTCAACAACATCCCCTCCCTCGCTCAAAGTTATCACAATATTTGTACCTAAGTTATCAGTCTTGCTGTGCGTAAACTATCATCATATTTACAAAAAGAAGTTATGTAAGTCTAGGAGGCGAAATATTTATTTCTCTAAAAATTGATCATCTGTACAAAAAGGAGATGAGTACAAACACAGCACATCGTTCCTTAAAAAACTTGGTCCAGATGGTTCTTCTCATTGTGGAAAGCATTGTTATTTTCCCGTTTTCAAATAAAGTATAAATATCGGCTAACCTGAATCTGGAACACAAGAGGCAGGCTTAGCCCGGGTGGTGGTGCACTGGTATCCCATGGAGCAGCTCGTGTGTTTGAATCCCTACAGGCGCAGTTTTTTCTCTTCGATATCTTTTCACGCTCGAGAAGTAGAACGGGCGGTTGGGCCCACGCGAGAATCGGATCTGGCTGCGAGCGAGCGAGAAATTATCGCGCGGGGAATCAGGATCGAACGCCAATTAGATCGTTCGGATCTATTGCCTAATTCCAAACGTTTGGAATTTACAAATTCCCAAAATATAAATATATACAATAGCAAATCAATACCATTAGATTTTATTATTAAATATACTTTCACATCATATAGATTTGCTATGGTAAATGGTTATAATTTTTTATAAACTTCGTCAAACTTCATAAAATTTGACTTCAGTCAACTCTAATATGCAGAGTAAATAAAAGCGGAGGGAGCAATAAAGTGTAAATTGCAGGTCACAAAATATATCGTTGAAGTTCTATTCAAAATAAATTTTTAGTGGTGTATTATTGTTGCATATATGCTTTGTTGGTCAATGCAAGGTCGATCGCTGCCGAGCCGAAACTAGGACTTCCACCGGCGGGCCCAAAAGTGACCGATCATTGGAGAAACGTCTGAGATGTGTTTGCTCTCTTAAATCGATATCGAAGTCTTGCTCGACAGTGTGAGCAACTTTGAGTGCTCCGTACTAAGGGTCATAGAAAGCTTTTGAAGGTCAACGAAAAATGTGTGTAGCCGTTGTGCGTGAATCGATCTTGTTGACGAGGTGTCTGGTCCCACCTCAAGGAACTTTTTTTTGACGTCCACCTCGAGAAACTTTGAATGGTTATCGCTAGCCATCCAACAACGGTCGGCTTTCCTATTTGCCACTTAGACTAGCCACAGTGGGAGTAATTTCAGCAGTAACTTCAAGTCCAACTTAGTAAATTTGTTTATGTGGCAATGAGTTAATGAAGAGAGATAATTATAAAGGGTTATAACATCCCAAAATTCTAAATTTTGGAATGTTATAATAAATTTTGGAATGTTATAATAAATAGATAGATTTGATTGATTGTGTGAAATTGAGTGAAATTCGAAACCTTTTTAAAAGTTAAATGAGAGGGAATAAAAGGACTTTTCCAAACTTTCATTTTTCATTCGTGCTCTCCGTGAATTCAAATACAAAACCCCGAGAGAAGATTACATGACTTCTTCCATTTATTTAAATGACAAGGGGTGTTGAAAATATTTGAATTTCATTTGAGAACATTTCCAATTCTGAAACTTTATGCAACTCAATGATTTTCACGAGAGAAGATAAAATGACTTCTTCAAATTATATGAAATATGAGTTGGGAGTTTCAAAGAAACTCAAATTCAAAATCCATTTGAAATTATTTTTCAATTTGGATTATTTGAGTTTTATTCATATTATTTTTCTCCAGAAACAAAATACATGGAAAATAGGGTAACATGATTCCCTACAATAGAAAATTGGAGAAAAATTAATTTGAAATCATTTCGGTATTTTTAAAATGATTTTCATTGGATTTTATTAGACCAGTAGCACTCTTTCAATTATCTGAATTTGCGTGGATTTTATTTGGCATTATAAAAATGCCCATGTCGTAGAAAATCTTTTTCTGAAAATTCTGATATATTATATGCCTATATAATATTTTTATTTATTTTGCTTTTATTATTATTTATTTGTCTGAAAATATTTAAAAAAAAACCCTCCGTCGCCGAACTGGGCCGGCCCAGCTCAGCCAGGCCGCGGCCCAGTGCCCTGCCGCCCCAACCGCCCGAGCAAGAGACCGCCGCCACCACGACAGCGCCGCCGCCGCCGTGTCCATCGCGGACACCGCGCCCCGCCGCCTCTGCCCTCGCCCCTCCTCCACGCCTCCCGAGGCCTCCTCTCCCCTTAAATAGCGCGGCCCCAGGCCCCTTCTCTCTGCCCGCCGCTGCTGCCTGCCCC